CGCGCACTGGACCGAGCGAGAGAGAGAGACAGAGAAAGGTCTTCCTTTGCCATTGTTTCACCCGCCAATGGCCGCTGCGGCCGGCGCACCACACCGATCCGAAGCCAGGAGCCAGGTATCCCCTCCTGGTCTCCATGTGGGTGCAGGGCCCAAGCACTTGGGCCATCCTCCACTGCACTCCCGGGCCACAGCAGAGAGCTGGATTGGAAGAGGAGCAACCGGGACAGAATCCAGCGCCCCAACCAGGACTAGAACCTGGTGTGCCAGCGCCGCAGGCGGAGGATTAGCCTATTGTGCCGTGGCGCCGGCCTACAGTAGGTTCTATGGTCCATACAGAGAACACATACATACCTGTCATTATTGCTTGATTTTATTAATTTGAAAATACCTACATGCACATTTATTAAATTTATAAATATGCATAAAAGTCACATTTTTGCAATGCATTTATCAGTAATTTCCCTTCTTGACATAAGGAAGCCTATGTTCCATTCTAAATTTACAGCAATCTAGTCAAAAATTCTGCTCTCTGCAATTTAGTTAAAATTAACTGAGATTATTTTATTTTTGGGCTCTTTCACCCTTTTACACAATCCTATGGGAAAAGAGAAAAACAACTTCCTGTCTTCTTGCCTGAAGTCATTTCTGCTTTGATTACATTTGAGTTTACGAGAAAATGTGTTTTGTATTTGTGAACTCTTAATCAAAGAGAGTCCTTCATGTCTGAGGGTGGCCCTCTGAGTCATGAAGTGATAAACCCACTCACCTTCCTAGGATCTCCTTAAGGGTGTGCCAGCTTTGATAAGATGTGCTAGATTAAATACGTGAGAAGTTACTGAGTGGGATAGTCAAGATCATGGGGTAATTTTAATAATGACGTAAACCAAACCACTGAAATAAGACTTTATACTTCTTTTTTTTAATATTTATTTATTTATTTATTTATTTTTTGACAGGCAGAGTGGACAGTGAGAGAGAGAGACAGAGAGAAAGGTCTTCCTTTGCCGTTGGTTCACCCTCCAATGGCCGCTGCGGCCGGCACACCACGCTGATGTGATGGCAGGAGCCAGGTACTTATCCTGGCCTCCCCTGGGGTGCAGGGCGCAAGCACTTGGGCCATCCTCCACTTCACTCCCTGGCCACAGCAGAGAGCTGGCCTGGAAGAGGGGCAACCGGGACAGAATCTGGCGCCCCGACTGGGACTAGAACCGGGTGTGCTGGCGCCACAAGGTGGAGAATTAGCCTTGTGAGCCGTGGCGCCGGCAAGGCTTTATACTTCTATCGTGATATTCCTGTGTTATTCCTGTGGCCCAAAATTCAAAGATATCAACATGTTTTTAATATTCCTTTTACCATATTTCTTAGTGTCTATTTTAGATCGGCTTTTTGACGTGTTCCATCATTCATAAAGTCTGTCTATTCTATCACAGTAGTGAGTCCACTAGCCTTTGGTTAAAAACTACACCCCCTCTTTTGTTTTTTTAGGTTGCTTTGACAGAAAAATTTCTGTTATCCAACTGAAATCTGGTGTCTTTTGCCCCAAGAATGCTCCTTTTTCTGCATTGTGTCTAAACAGGAAGCTACTCTTTCTTACCCTGTAATTTATGAGATATCAGCCATGATTATCCTTCAGATTCTTCTCTCCCCATCCTGGACAGATGGTCGTGAATTCTCATAAAATGGGTGACAGCTTCAAATCAAGTGTGCTGTCACTAGATGAGTGCACCAGAGAAGAAGACTTGTGCATATCTCTTTCCACATGAGTGCCTCAGACTCCTTTTTGAGTTCCTGAAGCACTCAATTCTGTGAATTGGAGTTTGCATCCTCTAAGTCATTTTTGTTTAATTCTTAGAAATTTGAAAACAGTTTAATAGGTTATATCTAAGGATTTTTCCTTTCTATTCTCAAATAAATAATTGCCTGGAAAAAATTCCTTTTTTTTTTTCCGTTTATTTTCTTTTCTTGATGCCTCAGAAGAATTTCTGTGAACTGCATCATTCATCTGTAGGCCTCCTGACTGAGTTCCAGTCTTGTCCTCAGTAATCTCTCTCCTTTCTCTACCACATGTCACACTGTTTGGTACTCTCATGTTTATGCTCATAAATACTCGTAAGTAACTTTATTTTACATAAATCTTTGCAGAAACTCCATTCCATAACAAGATAAGAAGATCACAACCGTCATTGTGCAGTTTTGAAGTTTGTCTGGTTTTAGACAGTTACTGTGCTAATTGTTGACTTACTGTTGTTGCATAATCTCTTTGTATCTTGGAGTTTTTTACTATGTAAAACAAATGATTAAGTAAAATAACTTCTGCAGTGCCTTCCTGTTCAGACATATGACCTGAAAGCTGTAGGTAGACATCTGAGTGGCCTGGGTATGATGTGGAATTGTGTATTCCAGTTAGCTTCTCAAGAAGAGGCGAGTTTACATTTTGTGAAAAAGTGGCTTTAAAAAAAATTTTATTGTGTATACTTAAGGCTTATAGCATTTTACAAGATAAAAACGTAAAATGGTAACTATAGTGAAGCAAGTTAACATACCCATCATCTCACAGTGTACTTTCTGTGTGGTAATCAGAGCAGCTGAAAATCTACTTATTTAGCAGAAATCCTTACTGTAATACAGTGCTCTTAACTATAGTCTTCATACTGCATATGGTGGTCTCTCAACTTGTTCATCCTGCACACCTGATGCAAGCCTCAGGTCCTATGACGCATATGCTCCACTTCCTCTCCTTCCCTGACTCTGGGCACCACTGTTTTATTCTGTGTGTGTGTGTGTATTTGACCTGCTTTTGTTTTTAACCTAGAGGACATATGCAAAGTGTTATAAGCAAACATAGAAATAAAATACTGCATGAGGACATAGAAAAATATTGCATGATCTCCTTACATATGGAACCTTAAAAAAAAAAGTCATTTTTGAATGCCTCAGAGAAAGTGCACTTTATAAATACAGTTTCTAAAGCTCCAAGAAACTTTTATTAAAGCTCATTTAAAAACCTGCCAAAGTGACAAGTAGAGAAATTATGCTTGATATAGTTTAATGCATAAAAATGGTCAAATGTAGAAATCTCTCATTTTGGTTATCTGGACTACTGGATAACTGTTTACTAGAACTGTTAATGGTGTTAAAGGTGACTCAAAACCCTATTCTGAGGGTTGACTGAGGAGATGGTCCACATGTTCCTTTCTTGCTTGTATTTCTCTTGTGATTTACTAAAAAGGGAAACACATGTTTGAATAATATCTTCCCATGCTGAGAGATTTAATTATTTTTCATGATGAATTCCCACTGGAAAGAAAATGTCTGATGTATTGGCAAGAGGTTGAATTTATATTGTCAGCTAGTACAGCCTACTGGCCCATGTCACCAAAAGCTCTCCTCTGTCCATGTGACCACAGTGCCTTTCCATCACTGAATAGGCATCTGCCACAGTGCTTCAGAAGAATGGCCCTTGGGTTGTCCACCTGGTTAACACACACAGTTGTGTGTCTTGGGCTCTGAAGAATCTCTTGGAATGGATGAAGGGAGCTGCTTCACATTTCTCCCTCCCTCCTACACCTCTCTCCCTTTCTCTGTGTCTTTTTTTTTTTTTTTTAATTAACTGTGCTATTACTTGGAAATTAAGGAATGGTGGCTGCTTTCCAAGTGGCTATTGAATATATTTACATCTAATCTGAATTGAGATGTGATGTGTTGTATGTATATAGTACATACCAGATTTCAGAGACTTAATAGGTATTATAAATGTCATGTTGTATCTCATTTTATATTGGTTATATGTGGAAATGATATCTTTATGTATAGGTTTCTGTGTTTATTTTGTCTATTTTGCTTTTTGTAATGCAACTATTAGAAAATTTAGAGTATGTTAGTGGCTCATACTGTATTTCTTTTGGACAATGCTGATCTAGAGGGGTTGTCACTTGTTGTTCTGAATAGCTATAAATATTAGTAGCTGTGGGGCTGGCATTCAGCCTCATAGTTAAGACTCCTGGCATCTCATACCTGAGTGTTTGGGTTCAACAGCTCCAGTTCCTGACTCCACCTTCCTGCTAATGCAAACCCTGGAAGGCAACGGTGTTGGGTCAAGTAATTGGATTCCTACCATGTATGTGGGAAACCTGCATTGAGTTCCTGCCTCAGTCTCTGCCAGCCTTGGATACAGTGGGCATTTGAGGAGTGAACTAGCAGGTGGGAGGGGTGTGTGTGTGTGTGTGTGTGTGTGCACATGCACGTACAAGTACACCTCTCAATTGACTACATTTTTTAAAAAAATAGAAAATAAATTAGCCTCCAAACTTTTTACCCAGTAGACTTTCACTTGGAAATTTTTACATGATGTCTTTTTGTTTACATCATGAATATTTCTACTCCAGATCTGATTATTTTTTTTTTTCTGTGTGTGGATTAACAAACATCTCTCAACTGCCACCCCACTGATATTAAATACATACTCTGTGGTATCCCAGAAATCTCATTCTGTGAAAGTAATCCTTCTTCCTCCACATTTATTTCTCCTTTCTCTGTGCTTACATTGCACGTATAAAGTATATTCTAAAGTAATTTCTAAAAGTGTTATCAGTTTCTTATTAGAACCATTTTGAAAGGGAGGAATAAGACACACAAGTTCTTTTGTCTTTTTCCCAAAAAATGATCATTTTCAGTTCACAAGAGTCATTGGGCAATTGGCTGACATCCCCTTCATGAAGTGTCATTTTAGTCATTCTTCCCACTTCTTGATGCCTTGAGAGGTATCACTAATGCCACAGAACAGAGACTTAGGATTTGTGATTACATTGTTTTGGTTAAGTCAGTTTTTTCTTTTTTTAATTGGTACTTTGGAGGGAAAAAAAAGTTAGAACCTTTCTGTGAAAAAAAGCATAAAGGAAGGTCACTGTTGTATAGTTTTTATCTATAGTGCTCCCCGTGCTCCTTTATGTCTCTAATGCCTCCCTTTTTACCCTCTAAAACAATGGCCTTTGGATGTGCAGGATGATGCCCGCCAACTCTTTGTGCTTGCTGGAGCTGCTGAGGAAGGCTTTATGACTGCAGAACTCGCCGGAGTGATAAAGAGATTGTGGAAGGATAGCGGTGTGCAAGCCTGTTTCAACAGATCCCGCGAGTACCAGCTTAATGACTCGGCAGCGTAGTAAGTAATCATAACTTCAGAGCTCAACAATCATGAATAATTACTTGCAAATCAAATTTACCTCCAAGGCAGTTTTACTGCAGAATTGGCTGACACATTCTTATGCAACTTAGGATATGCAGCATGACAATATTTGAGAACTGTCTCTGCCTCTTTGGTGTGTATTTGTAGCCAGCAGTGCAGTTGCTGCCTGCGTGTGCAGTGGTGTCTCCAGAGATTGGTACTTACGTAACTCTATTGGAAACATGCAGAACGGGACTGTTCCCAGTATATTTCCAGGAAGGTAATTAGAACTTCCCAAAATTCACTTGGAATTTGGGTGTATCTCTAGTTTACTTGGAGCTAGCCAGATAGGGGTTAACTGATTTAGGGTGTTTTCATGACATTCATGGTGCCTGCGAAAAGCTGCTTGTCTGTGACAGAAAGCTTAAGCAGGAATACTTTAAAGAGGTGCCTGGTGGTCACAAGATAATTCCTCACTAAGGAAAGTAGCTGCACATTTGGAAATTTTCAGTTGTGTTTGCCCTGTGCACTGTTTGCAGACATTTAACTACCGTTTTTTGGGAAGAGAAAACCTGCCCAGATAATCCAGGTGGTGGCCCCAGAAAATTAGCAGAGCAAGTTGTGATAAAACCTAATTAGGAAGCTTTCTGTTTGTTGATCTATAGAGAATTAAAAAAAAAAAAAAACAAAAAACACAAGTGGTGGCTTCCCTGGTTGACTGCGCACACACACACACACACACACACACACATACAGAGTCAGTAATATCAGCTGTGGTGTGTCCAGTGTTCCTCAGTCTTTAGGATGCGTGTTGTGCATTCACTCTACTGCCCCAGGTCGTTCTGTGTTCTATCAACTTCTAGGGACATAAACCAGGATTAGACAGAAGATGACAGGTATTGATAGGTTTAGGTCGATGCATGCACTTTGCCACGGTGAAAAGCAAACAAATAGGGTACAGCTCCTGAGGACCTCATTATTTTATGTCAGAGCACATACCAGGTGTGAGCAGATAAATAATATAAAACCACTACATCACCCTTAGCAGTCTTTACTCTGATTTCCTTAACCTATATGTTAAATATTCTAACATATGAATTACATATGTGGTTTCTATATGTATATGTGACTTATCTTATTGCTTCTGTAATCATCTCTGCAGGTGGTATCTCCCTTCCACATGAAATGCATGTTGGCCCCCTGGGCAGGTCCTTGCTTCCATGTTTTAGGAAGTTTTTTTTCCGAGTTTTAGGAACTCATAATGCCATTTTCTTTTGCTTCAGGTTTACATTAGTTTTCAATTTATTTGACTTATATTTACATTGTGACTATTTGATTATTTTCTGCCCTGCCAATACACTGTAGATCCAGTGTCTGTTTTTACATACACCCTGGCACACCGTTGTCAATTTGATATTATCTTGTTTAATAATGGATGAATTAATAAACTAGACTTCACAGACCTTAGAAGACAAATTGGAAAAATCACCTAGAGGGAGAACAGAACTCTCCTGTCAACCATACATAGTGTTTGCTTTGCCACCACCAGCACCTGCAATAAGGTTGAAACGGAAATCACTGTTTTAGCGAGACAATGCTCTGTTGCATCCAGCAAAATGAGCTACTTCAAAAATTAAGGAGTGCTACTAGGGGATGATAGATTAAAGACTCCTGGCCAGCGCTGCGGCTCCATAGGCTAATCCTCCCTGCGGCGCTGGCACTTCAGAACCCGGCACCCCAGGTTCTAGTCCCGGTTGGGGCGCCGGATTCTGTCCCGGTTGCCCCTCTTCCAGGCCAGCTCTCTGCTGTGGCCCGGGAGTGCAGTGGAGGATGGCCCAAGTCCTTGGGCCCTGCACCCGCATGGGAGACCAGGAGAAGCACCTGGCTCCTGCCATCGGATCAGCGCGGTGCGCTGGCCGCGGCGGCCATTGGAGGGTGAACCAACGGCAAAAGGAATACCTTTCTCCCTGTCTCTCTCTCTCACTATCCACTCTGCCTGTCAAAACAGAAAAAAAATAGATTAAAGACCCCTTCCTTGTCAAATGGGGGGACTGCCAGACCCCCTCAGTCTCTTGGCTAAGACCCTTCTCCTTTGCAAGCTGCTAGTACATGCAGTGAGAAACCTGTTGCTTTGGTTCCCTCTTATATCATGCCTAGCACTTCTGACTTTAAAATGGCAGTAATGGAGCCAATTTTCAAGAACAAAGGAAGTTGTGGAAGCCTTTTTCTCCCTGGTGGTTAAAGGATATCTTGCCTGGAGGTGGAGAGATGCATCCTCACCCCCTCAGGCCTGTCTGACGATTTAGACTTTCTCAAAATACTACTTGTTCTTTTTTTTGCCTTGTTGAAATATAAATGTGCATTATTTTTAGAGACCATAGAGCTTTTATGTAAAAAAATATGTGAGTGACTAGAGTACATTTTAAATAACACCTCACTATTTTAGTGAAATCTTGCCATGGCTTCTTTTGTTTATCAAATCATATTTTCTTAACAGTAAAGTACAACATTATAAAAGGGGTCTTCAGAAAGTTCCTGGGAAGTATACATGATGAAAAAATGATGGATAGATTTCAAAAGTTTTATTATGCCAAATAAAGTTGTCTTGGAATTACATTTTCCACAAAGTTTCTGAAGTCCCTATATGTATACAGAATCGAAGCAGAGACTGGGTGTAGTGGTAAAGCTGCCGCCTCTGACACCAGTATCGCATATGTTTTGTCTTCTGGCTGCTCCACTTCCCATCCAGCTCCCTGCTAATAGCCCTGGAAAAGCAGCAGAAGATGGCCCAAGTGTTTGGGACCCTGCACCCACATGGGAGACACAGATGAAGCTCCTGGCTCCTGATTCCTGGCTTTGGCCTGGCCTAGCCTTGGCCATTATGACCATCCTGGGAGTGAGCTAACTGAAGGAAGATCTTTCTCTGTAACTTCATGTCTTTCAAAATAAATAAATCTTATTAAAAAAAACAAATCAGAGACTGTACTGGGGGACTGTCATCAGTCAATGTGATGATAGAATTCTCTTCTGTATATGCAGCAACTCAAGCTGTTGTCTCTGTGTTCAAATATCGATGCCACATATACATATACATATATATATATATATATCTGATTGTCTAGAATGCTTTTGTTACTACTAAAGTGTTTATACAGTATTCCAACCATATCTCTGATAAATCAAATATTGAGCAAGCTCCTTTCTTTTCATAAGGCCACATTCCAAATGGCTAATCAACGGTTTCTCAGGGTACTGCCAATTTAAAGCTGCCATAGTTGGTGTCCCTCTGTACCTGGCCTTATGTTGCTTGGAGTGATGCTCCTCACTCGGCTTACCCTGGGACTAATTCCTGACTTCTAGTTTAAGGTTATGCATAGCCTAGTAGTGGCCTTACCCTCCAAAAAAACACGACTGTTCCTCTCTCCATTCTGATTGCAGCCTTTCCTGATGGAAATGACCTTCTATCTTATGTTCCACTACTCTCTTCTTTCCTGACTTCCTATGAATTAGTAACTGCACCATTTAATTTGACACTAAGAAATTTACTGTCTTAGATTGCATGGTGTGATCCACTACATTTAATCATTTTTTAAAACTGTATTCACTTGAGAGAGAGACAGAGACAGAGAGACAGAGATCCTGTCTCCACAATACCCACAAAGGTCTGAGCTGCACGTGGGCAGAATGTGGAGTCAGAAGCAAAGTGCAGGTCCCTCACATGGGTGGCAGGGGTCCAGCCACTTGAGTCATCACGCACTGCCTCCCAGGGTTTCACCAACCAGGAAGCTGCAGTCAGCAGTGGAGACTCTGATAAGGGATGTTGGTGTTACAGCAAGCATCTTAACTGCTACACCAAGTGCCTGCCCCATCTACTACATTTGTCTGTCTTAACATGCTTTGTATCCCTGACAAGAAAACTTATGAGTGACTCAAACTAAGAGGTACAGTATCGATACTTAGCAGTAAAACTACCGGATAAGGAAGCGTGCCTCGTATTTCCCTGGGTGTAACAGCAGGTAGAAAAGAGACAGCATCTCATCCAGGCTGGGGTCACAGGTTTCCTCAGTGCTTTCTCCAAAAAGACTTTGACACTTTCTACAAAAACATCTGAAACGTCAGTCCAGAGTTACATCCAGAAAGTGTAATGGATTTTAAGAAAGAGATTCATGGTTGCAGTCCTGCATTAAAAAAAAAAAAAAAAAATTGTCGTCTTTCCTTTGATTGCTAGTCACTGTCTTTAAGTATAGTTTTTAAAAATAGTGAAAGACCTTTGTGGCCAGAGAAGTATAAATATTTTCATTTCAATGGGAGTTACGTAAGCTCTAAGCTTAAATTGGTTGTTTTACCTCATTACATAGAAATTTTAAACCTCCCAGTGACTGCAGAGTATTGCCTGTGTTTTTCTCTCCCTATTAGATGATCTTTATTGGCTGTATTTACTGTTAGCATGTTGTTTTGCTGTTTGTTTTTTCAGCTATTTGAATGACTTGGACAGAATAGCACAACCCAATTATATCCCAACTCAGCAAGACGTTCTCAGAACTAGAGTGAAAACTACAGGAATTGTTGAAACCCATTTTACTTTCAAAGATCTTCATTTTAAGTGAGTAGAATCAAAATATGATTTATAAATTTAGAAATATAAAGTTGTTTTGGAAATAAAAGGTATGATGGTAGATTTTTGTAACATAGCAGTTACAGTCAGAAAACTCAGATGATTGAACAAAGAATTTTGTGGTGAAAGAAGACAAAACAGAAGCATCTTTAGGAAGAATATTGTTATTTAAGAAAAATAGCCTAGCAAATTCCCTTGGTCTATAGTTTTTTTCAATGATGCCAGTAAACGTAGTTTTCGGCTTCTATTTCTAGATAGAAAATACTACTCTAATACACTGTAGTATATTTTGGAGGCATTGCTGTTCATCTTTAGGTAAAAAGGAGAGTTTTATTGATAGAATATATGCTTGTTTTTGGAAATGTTTAAAAAGAAGGGTGCCTTTTAAAACTTTTTCATGAAAAATTTTACTGAAAACAAACTTATGGTTGCACTGTTTGATGTTGCAAAGTGTTTGTTTAATTTTAAGTGTTCTTACTAAGGACTTACCGAGGTCTAAGCAGAGAAGTACTGAGTTGTATCTTTCCAACATGGGAGTGGTCTTGGAGTTCATTTTGTCCAGTCTCCTCATTTTGTAATGAATGAAGCAGGCTGAAGATTGTATTTCATGCAAATTTCCAGAACTGCATATAGAAAGAAGTGGCAATTTTCAAGGTTTAAGGAAAACTGTTGGATTAGACACAAATATTTTATTTCCAGATTCTTGTATTATCTATACAACCCTTGCAGTCAATTTAGTTTAATCCATTTTTCCCTTTCAGGTCAACTGCATCTAGGTTTAGGTAGCCTGACTTTTCTTCTGCTAAATGCTCTACTTATTTGATAACAGTTTTTACCAATCAAAATTGCCATTCAGTATGCATTGTTATCCATCTGTTGACCAGTTAACTCTAGTTAGCAACAACAAAATGATGCAAAAAGAGGTTCTATATTTCATATAAAGACATAGCAGTTGGGACTTGTGTTGTGGTACAGCAAGTTAAGTTGCCATCTGCTGTGCCGGCATACCATATGAACACTGGTTCAAGTCCCAGCTGCTCCACTTCTGATGCAGCTCTCTGCTGATACACCTGGGAAAGCAGCAGAAGATGGCCTAAGTGCTTGGGCCAGTCACCCACATGGGAGACCTGAATGGAGTTTCAGGCACCTGGGTTCCACTTGGGATTTGGGGAGCAATCCAGTGGACGGATATCTCTCTCCCTGGCTCTCCCTGTCTATAACTCTGCCTTTCAAATAAATAAATCTTTAAAATAGAGACAATAGTATACATAAAGAAGATAATTAACATTTCAGGACTTTCTTCCAGAACAAAACTTCAGTGTCTCCATAGAAATCCCAGACCGTTGTGGTGTGACTTGATCTTAAAAGATGCAGGTTAAAGGCACTTTACAAGTGTTCTTCCAACTCACACCCATCCTTAGCATTATTGTTTCTGCTCGTTGAAACTAAGTAAAGGGGCCTGTGGAAATTGTGTTTTTAAAAACCAGTAACTTCTCATAACATAAATTCATTCATAACATAAATGCCATTTTTTTTCTAAATGCTGGTCCAGCATCCAGCAGAAAGTACCCTGGTCACAAAGCCCTTGAATGATCCTGAGGCCCTACTAAGAGGCAGCCCCTGCTTCAGGTAAACAGGCTCTTTACCCTACTTTAAAACCCACACAGTACCTAAGCCGTATAAAGATTCTTGGAAATAAAAATATAAAAGAGAAATGCTAGAATTAAATATTGCAGTTTTTTTAACTTTTATTTAATAAATATAAATTTCCAAAGTAAACTTTTGGATTATAGTTGCTTTTTCCCCCCATAACTTCCCTCCCACCCAAAACCATCCCATCTCCCACTCCCTCTCCCATCCCATTCTCCATAAAGATCCATTTTCAATTATGTTTATATACAGAAGATCTACTTAGTATTTACTCAGTAAAGATTTCAACAGTTTGCACCCTCACAGAAACACAAAATATAGAGTATTGCTTTAGTAGTAATTTTACATTTAATTCACATAGTACAACACATTAAGGACAGAGATCCTACATGGGGAATAAGTGTACAGTGACTCCTGTTGTTGATTTAACAATTGACACTCTTATTTATGACGTCAGTAATCACCCAAGGCTTTTGTCATGAGCTTCCAAGGCTATGGAAGCCTCTTGAGTTCACCAATTCCGATCTTATTTTGACAAGGCCATAGTCAAAGTGGAAGTTCTCTCCTCCCTTCAGAGAAAGGTACCTCCCTCTTTGATGGCCCGTTCTTTCCACTGGGATCTCACTCACAGAGATCTTTCAGTTAGGTTTGTTGTTGTTTGTTTGTTTGTTTTTTTTGTTTGTTTGTTTGTTGTTTTTTTTTTTTTTTTTTTTTGCCAGAGTGTCTTGGCTTTCCATGCCTAAAATACTCTCATGGGCTTTTCAGCCAGATCCGCATGCCTTAAGGGCTGATTCTGAGGCCAGAGTGCTGTTTAGGACATCTGCCATTCTATGAGTCTGCTGTGTATCTCACTTCCCATGTTGGATGGTTCTCTCCTTTTTAATCCTATAAGTTAGTATTAGCAGAGACTAGTCTTGTTTATGTGATCCCTTTGACTCTTAGATCTATCATTATGGTCAATTGTGAACTGAAATTAATCACTTTGACTAGTAAGATGGCATTGGTACACCTTGAAGGGATTGAATTGGAATCCCTTGGCACATTTCTAACTCTACCATTTGGGGTAAGTCCGATTGAGCATGTGCAGAACTGTACATCTCTTCCCTCTCTTATTCCCACTCTTATATTTAACAGGGATCACTTTTCAGTTAAATTCAAATGCCTAAGAATAATTGTGTGTTAATTAGAGTTCAACCAATGGTATTAAGTAGAATAAAAATATACTAAAAGAAATAAAATAGTAAATTGTTCCTTGACAGTCAGTTTTAAAGCTTTTTTTAAATAGGTATTTTAAAAATTTCTAACTGTGCAAGATTGGGATTGATTTTAAGCAAGGTTGCATTTGCAGTTGTGCATGGGAAGGCATCAAAAGCCTTCTTGCACCTGCAGAACTTTGTAAGGTGGCTCCAGCTGAGCACACCCTAGTTGGCACTACAGAAAATCATTTTAGAAAAGGCACTGAGGGTCTCTTTTATTCTTTATAAAAATTTTCATGCTTTCCTATGTTTTTCTAAGATTTCATTTTTAATAGCATGAGGAATCAGATCATTCTTTTTTTGTTTCTGATATATCTTTTCAATTATGTTTAGTGCAGGTTCTTAATTTCTCTGTAGAAATTCAGACTTCACAAAACTGTATATATAACCCATTGCTTATACTCTGATGCATCCCTGCAGTACCAAAAATATTATAAATTAAGATTAAAAGCAAAACAAAAAACTGTTATCATTCTTATTTGTCAAGAAAAATAATTTATCTGCTTCTGCTTTGCAAGTAGAGGATGCTATGTTGCTGCTGAAATCATTTTCTCTTTTCTCTCTTACTCTGATGAAAAGCTTTATGATTTGAGATAATCCTTTTAAGTAAGGCTTCACTGTGAATTATGGATGAGACTTTGTTTCAGTTGACACCAATGCTGTGAAACAGTGATGATAATAAAGCAGAATTTCTAAACACATCTTGGAAAAAGGTTCCTAGTCAGAGATTAAAAGCAAACAATTATTAGCTCATCTCAGCAAGAAAGCCTACAGTTAAATAGATGCAATTCTGATTGCTTCCATGCACATTTTAAGTATTATACATCTGTTACTACCGTTTGTCATTCATTTATCGATGATTCATATGATTGGATTTTTTTTCAGAGAAATAAAATTTAGTTTAAATTTTCCATGACTGTTCTCCCCTATTCCCACTCCATCCCTCCAAAACTAAACCCAGCCCTGCTATCTTAAGTGAATATATGAGTAGTGGTCATGAATGGTGTATCTGGCAATATTTTCTTCATGCTTTCATGCATGGTACAATATTGCAATGCTTTTAATTCTTTTTCCATTTTCATTCTCTTGTAAGCCCTGGTGAACTTTTTTTTTTCTGCTAATACTATGTTTATTGAAATCATTTACCTCCTTTTATTTTGTTTATTACTGCTTCTAGAATATTAAATAACCAAACTTAGTACTCTGATTTCACATATAATATACTGTATCTGACCTGGGGATCCTTGTTTATCTTAAAACTATAAAGTGATTTTACTTATAAGGAACTTCACTGTTGCAATGAGGCTTTAAAATGTATTTCTTTTATGAACCTACTGAACCTTAGTTTCTTGTGTTTTGTTTGCTTTGTTTTTAAAGACCGTGTTCTCAAAGCAAATGTAAAGGGTGAGTAATGCTCAGATAAGGGCTTACCTCTAACCAGTATTGTCAAAGAAGAAAATGCATGGAATTGAGGTTAGCAAGTGAGGATGTAGGTTCCTGTATCACATAGCTAGGCAAACACATTATGATCCTTCAAAAGAGACTACTACAGTCTTGCTTGAAGAAACTTCAAGTGAATTATTGCCTCTAAAATGCCATAAAGGTGAGAATTCTAAGTGCTGAAAAATGACAGTGCAAATGTTAAATCAGTATTATACAGAACTTCAGGCGGTCTGACTGTAAAGTTCACAGTTCATCATGGCTAGATGCACTCTTGAACATTTACTTCCAGACCATACTTTTTTTTTTTAAAGATTTATTTTTATTTTTTTATTTGAAAGGCAGGGTTAAACAGAGGCAGAGTCTTCCATCCACTGGTTCACTCCCCAAGCAGCTGCAACGGCCGGAGCTGTGCCAATCTGAATCCAGGAGCCAGGAGCTTCTTCTGGGTCTCCCACATGGGTTCACAGGCCCAAGCAGTTGGCAGGTAAAGCTGCTGCCTGCAGTGCTGGCATCCCATGTGGTGCCGGTTCAAGTCCCAGCTGCTCTACTTCCAATCCAGCTTTCTGCTATGGCCTGGGAAAGTAGTGGAAGATGGCCCAAGTCCTTGGGCCTCTGCACCCGTGTGGGAGACCTGGATGGAGATCCAGGCTCCTGATTTCAGACGGGCCATTTTTCACTGCTTTCCCAGGCTGTAACAGAGAGCTGAATTGGAAGTGGAGCAGCCGGAGCTTGAACGTGCACCCATATGGGATGCTGGCCCTGGCAGCACCTTTACCTGCTATGCCATAGCACCGGCCTCTAAACCCTACTTTTCACTTCCATCCTTGTCTTTTCACAGTTGTAGTTTTGCCATCAAGCAAATACTGAGATTCCATCGACTTTCAACATGATGCTTCAGGAAGTTCATTAATCTTGTTCAGTTTGGGTTCCTGGGTGAGGCCAAATTTTATAAGCCTCTGGTGTAGTTACTGTTCTGATTTCCTAAACTAAAGATAAACAGATTTCTCTGCAACTTCAGATAAACTTTCTCTTATTTTGGATTTGAATTCTGCTAAATTACTGTCATTGTCAATGCGTGGTTCCAACCTTGCATTGATTTCTCTGCAACTTCAGATAACTAGCAGAAACACCGATTGGTATCGCTGCTTTCATTTTCAATGACAAGGCAGATAAAGCACAGAGCATCACTTATTCTTCCAGATATGACTTAGAAACACCTCCATACTTCAACTGGTATTTAAAATTTCAAACCTTTTTTTAATAAACAAAAATATAGAATGTTCTCCTTCATATGAAAAGCTGGCACTTTTGATGAGCGTCATTAGGAATGAATGTGAGTTTCCCTAAGGTATTTTAGAGGCTACAGTAGACCGTGAGGGACATCCTAAGGTATGCTAACTTAGACTGTTATCTGTCACCACTGTGATCAAGACCAACTAGTACAAAGCCGGGTAGCCATATCTGAATGTTAAACTCATGCACTGCATATGGTGTTCGCATTATACTACTATAGAGAAGGAATTTTCTCCTGTATTATAATAATTTCATATCAGAAAGAATGTTTTATCTCTGTATCCAGCAACAGTAAAGTTAAACTGTGATTCTTTAACTAAAACTAAATAATCCAAACAGAAACTACCCATAAACAGTTTTTTTTTTTTCATGAAAATTGTTGAACTCTTTTAGTATAGAGTTGGTCTTCTGTGTATAAAGTTAACTGAAAATGTATCTTAGTGGAGAATGGGACTGGGAATGGGAGAGGGAGGAAAAAGAGGGGTGGGAATGTGGGTGGAAGGGTGGGTGTGGTGGGAAGAATCACTATATTCCTAAAGTTGTACTTATGAAATGCATGAAGTTTGTATTCCTTAAGTAAAAGCTTTCTTTGGAAAAAAAAAACCTACTCATAAATGCCAAGTCACAGCTGATAATATGAATTCTTAAATTTTAATATACAATTCCTTCATTTTGAGCTTAATACCCATCATACAAACAATAAGTGAAATTATTCTCAGAAGTTAAATGAGACAAAAAGTTACAATGAGATGCACACAACCCAATTCATTACTTACAAATTCTCCCTTCCACCCCATACTAGAACACAAGTCAGCCAGCTGTTTGTCATTTTATAACAAGGATTGTCTTTTCTGTAGGGTGCAACAACTTGTTTTTCACATCTGAGACCTCATTAAAAGTACCTGTAACATTCACGTACCTCCCAACACTGTTGGTGATGATTTTGTGTGCTCCAAGACAGTAGCTTTTCTTCTCTTCTCTCTTCTTCCTTCTGAGCTCTTAGCAGAATGTCCTGTAATGTCCACAGTTCTACCAACTGTCTCTTCAGAATAATTGCCAGGTACTTCAGTATTCTTCCAGCTATTGTCCATGACCCAGTTGCGAAGCCACTTTCACATTTTTAGGCATATGTTAAAGTAGCACCTCTCTCTTGGCTCTCACATTTGTTTTTCTGCATTCTCCAGAGAAACAGAACCGGTCAATTATGTTTGTTTCAAGGAATTGGCTCATGTAACTGTGGAAGCCCTAGTTTGTAGGATAGGCCAGGCACCTTACACACGAGTGCTTTTACAGGGCTAGAAAGAATTTTGTTTCTACCGTGGAAACCTTAGGTTTTGCTCTTAAGGCCCTTCAGCTGATGGCATGTGGCCTATCCACAGGTACTGAGGACCAACTCATGACTTAAAGTAGGCTTATTATAGATTTTTTTAAAAGATTTATTTATTTACTTGAAAGAGTTACACAGAGAGAGAGGAAAGGCAGAGAGAGAGAAAGAGGTCTTCCATCCGCTGGTTCACTCCCCAGTTGGCCACAATGGCCGGAGCTGTGCCAATCCGAAGCCAGGAGGTTCTTCCAGGTCTCCCACGTAGGTGTAGGGGCCCAAGGACTTAGGCCATCTTCTACTGCTTTCCCAGGCCATAGCAGAGAGCTGGATCAGAAGTGGAGCAGCCAGGTCTCAAACCAGAGCCCATCTGGGATGCCGGCACTGCAGGCTGTAGCCCTAACCACCACGCCACAGTGCTAACCCCTTATTGTAATGTTAATCACATTCATGAAATACCTTCATGGCAGTACCTGGAGATTAAATAATGGTGTGGTCAGCCAGCCAAGACAACACAAAATCAACCATCACAGAGAAAATGTCAAGTGATCAGGTGGGATTGTTATTTTGTATTGGCTAGACAGAGAGTAGATGACATTTGGTTGGAAAAGTTTCCTAAGATTAAGATATGGTTTTTTTTTTTTTTTTTGGTAAAGTTACTTTTTCCCCCAAGTTTTGTTCCTAAGCAATTTAATAAATGGTTTCCAGTTAAAATCAATTTATTTTCTTTTCTTCTTCTTTGGTCTGTGTTACTGACTGTCCTTTATGTATGCTATCCATTTTTACTTATCATGCAGTAGAATAATATAGCATACTTGAATGTACTGGCAAAGCTAAAATAAAGGCCACTTAAATGATGGGAAAGGTAACAGTAGTAGTTGATGTGCCTAGATTCAGTTTGTAGGCCAATAGTGCTCCATAGGGAAAATTCTTTTTTGCCTGGGAATTAAATAGGGACTGTTTTAATTAGTGCACCATCTAGATAAATGGAGCCTTTAAAAATGTACCAGTTTGCATAGTGCTTCTCTTACATAAGCGATTATTTCTAGGTTGCATAATATAATCTTTGTGGATTTTAACTTTTGCTTATCTTTATAAACTCTTGTAGGAAAAAAAAAACCATTGTTTTTATATTGTATGATTGTGTTATTACATCATTCACTAACAGAATGATTTACTATTGTATATTGTACAAAAACTGAATTTTTCATTCTCAGTTGCTAGGCTATTTATATTTACTTCTTTATATTTCAAATATGCCATTTTTTTCTGCACCATGGGTTTACTTTTTTGTGTTTTTTAAGATTTAATTCTTCATTTGAAAGGCAGAGTTACAGCAAGAGAATGAGAGAGAGAGAGAGAGAGAGAGGAAGAGAGAGAGAGAGAGAGAGAGAGGTCTTCCATCTACTGGGTCACTCCCCAAATGGCCATAATGACCAGGGCTGGGCCACCCTGAAGTCAGGAGCCTGGAATTCCATCCAGGTCTCCCACATGGATGTCAGGACTCTAGATACGTGGGCCATCTTCTGCTTTCCCAGACACAGGGAGCTGGATGGGAAGTGGAGCAGCCAGAACTCAAACTGGAGCTCTCATGGGGATGCTGGTGTCACAAGTGGTGGCTTTACCCACTGTGGCACGACGCAGTCTCCCCACAATTGTCCTTTTGTAACAAAACCCTTTGCCACTACGTGGATGTAATTTAGTTGTCCTGTACTTTCTTACCTGGAATGGGCTGTCCTTTATCTCCAAGTCCTCTGAGAGAAAGCGTTTTATAATAGGAAGAGGGGAGCCCCTCCTCTGCCTGCAGTGCTCCCTGACTTTGAATGTGCACTCTTCGGTGTCTGCGATGCCCACTGGCTTCTTGTGATGCCTCTGTGTCTACACACAGTGCAGTCCATTCATTTGCATATGCTTTCATGTTCTTTTAATGTTCTCATGTTAATGAATGTCTTGTGTTTCCAGGATGTTTTGTTTAGAGGTATCCTCCCTTCAATCAAAAAATTTCCCCACTTGAGAAAACCAATCTGTGACATTGTTTTCTTCCTAAAAAGTCTTTCTCCTTTTTTTTTTTTCTTTCTTCCCATTTAACTATTTGGAGCTTCTGTTGTGGTCTCTCTGAGCTCCTTGGGCCTTCAGAATGTGTGATTCACGTCAGCTCCTTGTGTTTCCCCTTCCAGAATGTTTGATGTGGGAGGACAGAGGTCCGAACGGAAGAAGTGGATCCACTGCTTCGAGGGAGTGACTGCCATCATCTTCTGTGTGGCACTGAGTGACTATGACCTGGTCCTGGCTGAAGACGAAGAGATGGCAAGTAGAGCCACTCTCTGGGGTGGGGCATGAAACGCAGTGAGAGGGATGTGTTTCCAGAAGTTTTTCTGAGAAATTCTTGATGCATGCCTGAATTATTTGAAGTTCCGTCACTTTCCACTGACTTTTATGCTTGCATCATTCAAGAGAAATCTGGTAAAGAAGCACAGATGGGGCTTGAAAAAGAGGAGACGATGGAGAGTCCATTTCATCCTGCCCTCTGCCAACTGTGCCTTTCCTGCATCTGCCGTCTGCATCCCGAGTGAAAATAAAGCCAGCCCATAGCCGTCCAGGGCTCATTTTTCATCATGTGTCCCTTCCTCCCATGTAGTGATTTTTGTTACGCATAGGTTATGCTATACTGATGCCATGTCATTTTCTTGTGTGTTTCAATGCAGAAAAATTTTTTAAATATAAATTTTAAAATTCTCAATTGTTTTTAATTAGCTTCAGTACAAAATGGGAACAGGGATAGATAGAAATGTGAGTTTTATATTTTAAAAATCAGGCTGTGCAGTCAAGTGAAATGCAACACTACACATTTGTTTTTCTTATATAAAAGCTATTAAATATATCAGTGCCCTGTAAAAAATACTGTTTCTTTATTTGGGAGACACAGCAAGCTCTCATCCATTGCTTTGTTCCTCAAAGGCTCGTAACAGCCAGGATTGGTCCAGGGTAAAACTGGAGCTGAAAACTCAATCCCACATTGCCGTATGGCAGGCAGGGACCCACCTGCTTGAACCATCACCCCTGCTTCCCAGGGTGTGCATTATCAGGAAGCTGGAATTGGAACAGTGCTGGGGCTTGAGCTCAGACTCTCCAATATGGAATGTGGGTGTGTCTTTCCTGCTAGGCCAAATGCCTACCCCTTAGTGCTCTTGTTTTGGGAAACAAACAAACAAAAATAACCTATTTTATTTTATTTGAGAGAGAGACACATCTTCTATTTATTGGATCACTCTCAAAGTGCATGCAACAGCCAGGGCTGGGCTAGGCCAAAGCTAGGTGCCTGAAGCTCAATCCAGGTCTCCGATGTTGGTGGTAGGGACCCATCATCAGCTGCCTCTAAGAGTATACAACAGCAGAAGCTGGGTTGTAGGCAGAGGAGCCGGGCTTCAAACCAGGCCCCATGGTATGGGATGGTAGTATCCAAAGCATCATCTTAACCACAGTATCAGATGCCCACGCTCCTTGGTTTCCTTTTCAGCACAGGTCCTTTAAGAGCAGGAAACTGGAACTAGAAGTCTCCTTTGCTAATATTTAATGTGGTGGGCTCATTGGGTTTCAAAGTATACTTGTCTTAAAATGGCAGAAATGTATTTTTGTGGTCCATGACCTATTATTCATCTGAATAAGCTTGTATTATATTTGTTATTTTTTAAATAGTCCTCTAAATCTTTGCTATTAGTGATGATGTGACTTCATTTTCTATTACAGAATCGAATGCATGAAAGCATGAAATTGTTCGACAGCATATGTAACAACAAATGGTTTACAGACACGTCCATCATACTTTTTCTAAACAAGAAGGACCTCTTTGAAGAAAAAATTAAAAAGAGCCCTCTCACTATTTGCTATCCAGAATATGCAGGTATTTTACTTTTTGGTAAATAACTTAGCAAGTCATATATTTCAAGGTGAAACATCCCCTAAGGCAAAATTGGGTTGTTGATTTGAGTCTCTTGGCTTGGTAATTCTTCATATTCCTTCTGGGTAATTATTTATCAAACTCTGAGTTACTTAAGATGTGAAAGCGATTATTGAAAATAACATCCCTTTTCAGGAAAAGCTGTCAAAAGTGCTTTTCCGTGACAACTCCAAGCCTTCAAAAATTTAAAACATTGTTGACCAGGTTAACAGAGCTCATATCAGGTAATGTGTGATGCACAAGGCCTGCTTGCTGTCTAATCTCCAAGGCATTCACACTATTAAAGGAACCATGGCCCTGCCACACACTGCTACAAAGGAGCGCAAACATGATTGTCAGGGGAGAAATGAAGCAGGACTCAGTGAAACCACAGATTTCTCCAGATATTCAGGGACGATTTCACAAAAGATCTCAACTTTGGGAACCAGACTATTCATGGCCCTTGAGTTTACTGCCCTGGAAGATGCCCTTGAGTGAGAAAAGTTGTTCTGAAGTACATTCCTGGGTTGGCTATAATTAACTCTTGGTCTTGAATATAGCAGTGAACTTGCCCTGTTCTTAATGATACCCCGACTGTGAAATCAAGAACTTGGCTGCAACATTGGTTTTAGTGTAGGTTAGCTCCTTGGAGCCCCACATGGGCTGCTGCTGAATGCAGGTACCTGGAATTGAAGGACTCACTACCCTTCATGCCTTTCCACTCCTCTCTCACTACAACAGAGTCGTTCTACTTTTGTGGGTTTGACATACCAGGTTTCTCAGTAAGATTTTATTTTAGAAAAGTGAACTCTACCTTAAAAGGAGAACAACATATTGCTTCTTGGCCTTTTGGCTAAGATCAAGTATAAAAGGAGAACAAACAGGAACCAGCACTGTGGCGTAGTAGGCTAAGGCTCCGCCTGTGGTGCCAGCATCCCATATGGGTGCTGGTTTTATTCTGGCTGCTGCTCCTCTTCCAGTCCAGTTCTCTGCTGTGGCCAGCTCCTTGCTGATGTCCTGGGAAAGAAGTAGAATATGGCCCAAATGCTTGGGCCCCTGCACCCGCATGGGAGACCCAGAAGAAGCTCTTGACTCCTGGCTTTGGATTAGGCCAGCTCCAGCTGTTTGTGCCATTTGGAGAGTGAACCAGCAGATGGATTATCCTTCTCTCTCCCTCCCTCTGTAACTCTGCCTCTCAAATGAATGAATAAAACCTTAAAAAAAGAAAAAAAGCAGTGATGCTATTTCTAGTTTGAAAAAACAACTGCCACTTCAATTTCTCTCCAGAGTCCCAAGCTTGCATTATCAATTCATTCTTGAACATAGATGTGTCTTTTTAGCAATTGAAACTCAAACTGACCTTGTATTATTTTCCCCACCTCAAGTCTCTCCTCTTTCTCCTCTCACCTTTTTAATAACACCATGAACCTCCTAGTTCTCCATTCCTTTTATTTTTTTTTTTTTAAGATTTATTTATTTACCTGAGAGGCAGTGTTATAGACATAGAGAGGGAGAGACAGAGAGATAGAGGTCTTCCAGCTGCTGGTTCACTCCCCAAATGGCCAAAAAAGGCCAGAGCTGGGCCGATCTGAAGCCAGGAGCCAGGAGCTTCTTCTGAGTCTCCCACACAGGTGCAGGGGCCCAAACACTTGGGCCATCTTCTGCTGCTTTCCCATAGCATCAGCAGGGAGCTAGATCTGAAGTAGAGCAGCTAGGACTCGAACTGGTGCCCCTATGTTATGCCAGTACCACATGCAGATGCTTAACCTATAGTGCCATCTCCCCCCCCCCCACCCCCAATTCTCCATTCTTCAGCCTGTGTCTCATCTGCACTGTTCTTGATTCCAAACAACTTCACCATACACATACTTTGCTATTTGTAAGACTTAATGTCAGGTTAAGGGATGCACTTATTACTTCTTCACAGATGTCCCTTGTAGCTCTTGGGGTTAAAGAGTTTAGCAGCTACCCAGAATACCCAGAATATATTCATAAAATTGTGCTAGACACTCAGGGCAAGCTGTTCCTGCAAACATCTGTCAATGTAGCAGTCACATTAATTTCTGTGGCCAATGAGTCACTGTGGATTGCTGTAGAACTTAGGAGCACCAACCTTATGACTTAATAAAGTAAAATAAACCATGATTGATGAAAGTATATAGCAACATAAAACAGTTAAAAATGTATATTCATTCAAAGACTATAGTTGTACTATTTACATCGTCTATCCTGGGTTTCACAGGTAATGTTGTGATAGTATTTTAAATAAAACATTCTTATGGTTGTTTGTCACATTATATTGTACAGGGTGTTATATAAGGTGTGGGGTCTCTAAGATATGATGCTTATTCTTTTTTTTAAAGCATTTATTTAATGAATGCAAATTTCATAGGTACAACTTTAGGAATATAGTGGTTCTTCCCCCATACCCATCTTTCCACCCCCCACTCCCACTGCACCTCCTACACCTCTCTTATCCCATTCTTCATTAAGGTTCATTTTTAGTTTAACTTTATATACAGAAGACCAACTCTATACTAAGTAAAGATTTCAACAGTTTGCACCCACACACACATACACACACACACACACACACACACAGAGAGTATAAAGTACTGTTTGAGAACAAGATTTGCAGTTAATTCTCATAGTACAACTCATTAAGGACAGAGGTCCTACATGGGGAGTAAGTGCATAGTGACTTCTGTTGTTAATTTAACAATTAACACTCTTTTTTATGATGTCAGTGATCACCCAAGGCTCTTGCCATGAGTTGCAAAAGCTATGGAGGACTTTTGTGACCACAAACTCTGTCAGTATTTGGACAAGGCCTTAAGCAAAACAGAGTTCTATCTTCCTTTCAGAGAAAAATCCATCCTTCTTTAATGGCTCCTTCTTTCCACTGGGGTTTCATTTACAGAGATCCTTCATGTAGGATATTTTTGCCACAGTGTCTTGGCTTTCTGTGCCTGAAATGCTCTCACAAGCCTTTCAGCCAGACCAGGAAACCTTAAGGGCTGATTCTGAGGTTAGAGTGTTAATTATAGCGATTGTCATTCTATGAGTCTGCTGTGTGAACTGCTTCCCATCTTGGACATTCCTTCCTTTTTAATTCTGTCTCTTATTATTACCAGGTACTTGATGCTGTTTATATGATCTCTTTAACACTTAATCCTATCTATATGTTCACTTTAACACTTAATATGAACACTTTAACAATTAAGATGGCATTTTACTACCAATTTAATGGGATTTGGAGTCCCATGACAAGTTTTTAAACTGTATCCTTAGCAGTAAGTCCATAGGACTGTATGCAGAACTATACAGCTTTACAGTTACAAACTTCCTCCTCCCTCTCTTATTTTTTACTGAGATCAATTTTTAATTGACTTTATATACATATGACTAACTCTGTTAAGAGTTCAGCATATACTATGAAGAAGAAAAAAGAAAAAAATTAAAATTAAAAACTGTTCCTCAACAGTCAAGATGAGGGTTGTTCAAGTGATTGTTTCTCCAAGTGTCAATTTCAGTTCTACAGCTTTTGTTTTAGGTGCACTATTCTCATGGATCAGGGAAAATATATAGTATTTGTCACTTTGGGGCTGCCTTATTTCACTAAGTATAATGTTTTCCAGATTGATCCATTTTGTTGCAAATGACTGGATTTCATTTTTTACTGCTGTATAGTATTCCATAGTGTACATATCCTATGATTTCTTAATCCAGTCTTCAGTTGATGGACATTTAGGTTGATTCCATGTCTTAGCTATTGAAAATTGAGCTGCAATAAACATTGAGGCATGAAAGCTCTTTTGTTTACTGATTTCATTTCCCTTGGGTAAATTCCCAGGAGTGGGATGACTGGGTCATATGGTAGATCTTTATTCAGATTTTAGAGGTATCTCCATACTGTCTTCCATAGTGGCTTTCCCAGTTTACATTCCCACCAACAGTGGATTAGGGTACCGTTTTCCCCACTTCCTCTCCAGAATTTGTTGTTTGTTGATTTCTATATGAGAGCCATTCTAACGGGTAAGATGAAACCTCATTGTGGTTTTTATTTGCATTTCCCTGATGGCTAGTGATCCTGAGCATTTTTTCATGTGTATCTTGGCCATTTGGATTTCCTCATTTGGAAAATGTATGTTTAAGTCCTTTGCCCATCTCTTAAGTGAGTTGTTTGTTTTGTTGTTGTAGAGTTTCTTGATCTTTTTGTAGATTCTGGTTATTAATCCTTTATCAGCTGTGTAGTTTGCAAATAATTTTTCCCATTCTGTTGGTTGCCTGTTCACTTCCCTGAGTGTTTCTTTTGCAGTACAGAAGCTTCTCAAGTTGAAGTAATCCCATTTGTTAATTTTGGCTTTGACTGCCTGTGCCTCTAGGGTCTTTTCCAGGGATTCTTTGCCTGTGCCAATGTTTTGCAGGGTTTCCCAAATGTGCTCAATTAATTTGCTTGTGTTGGATTGTAGATTTAGGTCTTTAGTCCATGTTGAGTGGATTTTTATGTAAGGTGTAAGTTACGGGTCTTGCTTCATACTTACGCGTGTGGAAATCGAGTTTTCCCAGCACCATTTGTTGAAGAGACTGTCCTTGCTCCAGGATTGGTTTTAGCTCCTTGGTCAAATGTAAGTTGGTTGTAGATGTTTGGATTGATTTCTGGGGTTTCTGTTCTGTTCCATTGATCTATCCATCTATTTTTGTACCAGTACCAGGCTGTTTTGATTATAACTGCCTTGTATTATGTCTTGAAATCTGGTATTGTGATGCGTGCAGCTTTGTTTTTGTTGTACAAGATTGCTTTAGCTATTCAAGGTCTCCTGTGCCTCCATATGAATTTCAGCATCATTTTTTCCAGATCTGAGAAGAATGTCTTTGGTATTTTGATTGAATCTGTAAATTGCTTTCAGACGAATGGACATTTTGATGATACTGATTCTTCCGTTCCATGAACATGGGAGATTTTTCCGTTTTTTTTTTTTTTTTTTTTTTTTTTATCTTCTTCTATTTCTTTCTTTAAAGTTTTATAATTCTCATCCTAGAGATCTTTGGTTAAATTTATTCCAAGGATTTTGATTGTTTTTGTAGCTGTTGTGAATGGGATTAATCTTAGAAGTTGTTTCTCAGTGGTGGCATTGTCTGTGTACACAAAGGCTGTTGATTTCCGTGTATTGACTTTATATCCTGCTATTTTACCAAACTCTTCTATGAGTTCCAATAGTCTCTTAGTGGTCTTTTGGATCCCCTATATATAGAATCATATCCTCTGCAAATAGGGGTATTTGACTTCCTTCTTCCCAATTTGTATCCCTTTGATTTCTCTTTCTTGCCTAATGACTCTGTCTAAAACTTCCAGGACTATATTGAATAGCAGTGGTGAGAGTGGGCATCCCTACCTGGTACCAAATCTCAGGGGGAATGCTTCTACTTTTCTTGATTCAATATGATGCTGGCCATGGGTTTGTTAAAAATTGCTTTGATTGTGTTGAGGAATATTTCTTCTAAACCCAATTTGCTTAGAGTTTTCATCATGAAAGGGTATTGTATTTTGTCAAATGCTTTCTCTGCATCTATTGGGATAATCATATGATTTTTGTTCTTCAGTTTGTTAATGTGATGTATCACACTGAGTGATTTATGAATGTTGAACCATCCCTCCATACCAGGGATAAATGCCACTTGGAATGAGTGAATGATCTTTCTGGTGTGTAGTTGGATTCGATTGGCCAGAATTTTAGCATCTATGTTCCTCAGGGAGATTGGTCTATAGTTCTTTTTCTGTTGAATCTTTTCTGTGTTGAGGAATTAAGGAGATATTGGCTTTATAGAAAGAATTTAGGAGGATTCCCTCTCCTTCAATTGTTTTGAATAGTTTGAGAAGAATTGGAGTTAGTTCTTTAAATGTCTGGTAGGATTCAAAAGTGAAGCGATCTGGTCCAAGGCTTTTCTTTGTTGGGAGGGCCTTTATTACTGATTCAATTTCTGTCTTTTCTTTTTTAAAAGATTTATTTATTTGAAATTCAGAGTTACACAGAGAGAGCAGGAGACGCAGAGAGACAGAGAGACTGGTCTTCCATCTGCTGGTTCACTCCCCAATTAGCCGCAATGGCTGGGGCTTGTGCTGATCTGAAGCCAGGAGCCGGGAGCTTCCTCCAGGTCTCCCACGTGAGTGCAGGGGCCCAAGGACATGGGCCATCTTCTGCTGCTTTCCCAGCCATAGTAGAGAATATTGGAAGTAGAGCAGCCTGGTCTTGAACTGGCACGCATATGGGATGCCAGCACTGCCGATGGCGGCTTTTCACCCTATGCCACAGCGCCAGCCCCTCAATTTCTGTCTTGATTATGGATCTGTTTAGGTTTTCTCTATCTTCATGGCTCAATTTAGTTAGGTTGTATGTGTCCAGGAATCTATCCATTTCTACTAGTTTTCCCAGTTTGTTGGCTTAAAGCTCTTTGTAGTGGTTTCTGATGATTCTTTTTATTTCTCTGTTATCCTTTTTCATCTCTAATTTTATTGATTTGGGTCTTCTCTTTCCTTTTTTTGCTTAGTTGTGCCAATTTTGTTTAGTTTTTCAAAAAACCAGCTCTTTGTTTTGCTGATATTTTATATATTTTTTTGGTTTTAATTTTGTTGTCTTCTCAAATTTTAATTACTTCTTTTCTTCTACTAGTTTTGTGTTTGGTTTGCTGTTTCTTTTCTAAATCCTTGAGTTAAATCTTTCCAGTTTCTTGATATAGGCACCAATTGCTATAAACTTTCTTCTTAACATTGCTTTTTTCAGTACCCCACAAATTTTGGTATTTTGTATTATCGTCATTTGTTTCCAGAAATTTTTTTATTTCTTTTTTGATTTCTTCTATGACCCACTGCTCATTCAGAAACATGTTGTTCATTCTACATGTGTTGGCGTATGGCGTAGAGATTCTTGAGTTGTTGATTTCCAGCTTCATTGCATTGTGGTCTGAGAAGCTGCATGGTATGATTTTGATTTTTTTGAATTTGCTGAGGCTCACTTTATGGCCTAGCATATGGTCAATCCTAGAAAAATTTCCATGCACTGGAGAAAAAAAATGTGTACTTGTGGCTATAGAGTGGAATGCTCTGTAAATATCTGCTAGGTCTATTTAGTCTGTGGTGTCTATTAACTCTGTTGTTTCCTTGTTGATTTTCTGTCTGGTTATTCTGTCCATTGCTGAAAGAGGTATTGAAGTCCCCTGTTAATATTGTATTTGAGTCTATATCTCCCTTTAAATACTTTAACAATTCTTTTACATAGCCAGGTGCCCTGGAATTAGGTGCATATACATTTATAATAGTCACATCTTCCTGTAGAATTGATCCTTTAATCATTATATAGTATCCTTCTTTGTCTCTTAATAGTTTTTGTGTTAAAGTCTATTTTGTCTGATATTAGCATGGTCACAACAGCTCTTTTTTGGTCTCTGTTAGTATAGATTATCTTTTTCTATCCTTTCACTTTCAGTCTCCTTGCATCTTTGTTGGTAAAGTTTGTTTCTTGTAGGCAGTAGAAAGATGGGTTTTCTTTTTTATCCATTCAGCCAATCTGTGTCTTTTAACTGGGGAGATGAGACCATTTACATTCAATGTAACTATTGTTAAATCTGTCTTTTCTCTGCCTTGTTTCCTTACATAGTCCTGTTTATATATTTTGAATTTCATTTGTACTTCTACTGAGTCATTTTCTGCATTCATTTTCTTTTGTAGTGATGTTCCTGCTTCTGGGTTTCTGTGTGTAGCACATCCTTGAGCATCTTTTGTAGGGCTGGGCAAGTAGTTACAAATTCTTTCAATTTCTGTTGGTTGTGGAAGATCCTTATTTCTCCTTCGTTCATAAATGGGTTGACAGTTATTTTCTCTTAGGACTTGGAATGTCTTGCCATTGTCTCCTTGCCTGTATGGTGTGTTGCTTATTCTTGAAGTGTTTGTATTCCTAATGTAGGAGACCTAATGCTGACAAATGATTTGAGACTGTGAACAATTTTCATATAATAAAATCTGAAATAAAGGTTATCTTTAGTGTTTAGGAGGAGAACAAAGTTGTTAAGTGCTTGAGAGCCCATCTGGGTTTGATGAATTAGAAAGAGCTGTGTGGAGTGCCAGTTTTGAGCAAATGTGAGTGGTCAGAAATACCTGCTGGTGCAGTACAGTGGAGGGAAAGGACTGTGATAATGCTGGTGGTAGCTTGTGTCTTGGATCTTTGAGGGATGGAGCTCCTCAGAATGGCATCACAGCACAAGCTGAGAATTGTAGATTGTTACTGCAAGAAAAAAATTATATAGTTTTGTTCAAAATGAACATTGCATAGTAGTTTATAGATATATGTTATTACATTATGCACATGAGTATATTATTAAAATAATGTTTTATGGATACATGCATAGATACATACACAAAATGCACACTCACACACATATCTACAAACAACCCCAGGGTGAAGCTCATTGAAATTTCAAAAGTGAACGTCTCAGGGTAGGCATTTTGTGCAGTAGTTAAGTCACCACTTGCGATGCCTACAGCCCGTAACAAGAGTGCCAGGTTTGAGCTCTGAGTACACCACTACCAGCCCAGCTTCTTGGTAATGTGTACTCTGGTGAAGATCCAAGTATTTGGGTCACTGCTACCCACTTGGGAGACCCAGATGGACATCCAGGCTCCTGGCTTCAGCCTGGCCGAATCCTGGCTATTGGAGGCATGTGGGAAGTGAACCAGTAGACAGAAGATCTCTGTCTCTCTGCTTTTCAAATAAAATGAACTTAATTAACTAATTAGAAAAAGAAAGAGAACACATAGATTTCCACCACTCAGGTCAAGAAACGCAATGTTTCTGGGACTCCAGAAGCTCTGCCATGCCAACTCTCAGTCTTGAATCAACCCCACCTGCCCTCCTCTGCATGCAGATCATCCAGCAGACACTCTTTTTACACTCATTTTGTTGTTGTTGTTGTTAAGCTATGTGTGCGAGTGGTCCCTGTCCTTGTGTGCAGCAGTGGTGCTTCCACCCTCATTTTGCGGTCCTGCATCGCAGCCCATTGTCTGAACATGCTGAGCTTTGTGCTGTTCACATGCTTTATATGCCCTTGGGTGAACCCAGCAACATGGGTCTGTCCACTCTACACCTAGATACAGAACTGCTGGATGCGAGCATGTGTGTGAATATCTGTAGATACTTCCCAGCAGTCTCCAGAGTGTTTGTACTCAGAGCAAGTCTAGTCAGTAACCGGTTGCAAGGCGGGAGGTATCATTCACTTTTTTGTAACCTCATAGCCCAAGCCACATTATAGACCCTTGTTCAGGTTTTGAATAAAGAAAAATGAGGGAGCAATGCTATTACTTCTATGTGGGAAAGATGAAAAAACACCTATCAGCGTTCAGCCAACATTATTGATCCACCTCTGGGTTAGACTGAAGTAACATGCACCATCAAGCAAGCAAGTGGTTTAGTGTGCAGATGAAGAGAGTGGGCAGGAGAGAAAGGACATCCAACAATTGGGGGTTAGGGCAGGAGCAAAGACCATGGTAATCATGGAAGGCCAAATGAAGGGGCTTTTTGTTTTCTTTTTTTAATTTTAGGGGTGACTTCCAGTCATTAAAAAGTCATCTGCAGGTGTTGTTTTCCAGTGAGACTTCATTTGTCCTGTTGTACAAGGGGAAAATGCAGTTAATGAGTCCACATATTTTGTATGAATAAAGCTGACTTCAATATTTTAAGGTCTATTTTGCTTTATTTTAACTTCCCGTGTTCTATTTGTTCTATTTGTTTCCTTTTTCAGGATCAAACACGTACGAAGAGGCAGCCGCATATATTCAGTGTCAGTTTGAAGACCTCAATAAAAGAAAGGACACAAAGGAAATATACACCCACTTCACATGTGCCACAGATACTAAGAATGTGCAGTTTGTTTTTGATGCTGTAACAGATGTCATCATAAAAAATAATCTAAAAGATTGTGGTCTCTTCTAAGTTTTGCAGTGAATGGTAAATTGCATTTTCAAACCAAATGAGTGCTTATACGGATCTCTAGACTAGAGTCTTACAGCAGCAGAGAATGTAGGGTATGGCAGATGCATCCGGTACCTCACCAAAGTTACTCTGTTTTTTTTGTTTTGTTTTGTTTTTGTTTTGTTTCGTTTTGTTTTTAACTGAAAGTAACAGAAGGACCTTTCTTAAGTGTGTAAGATGGTCCTGCAGTGGGAAGCTGAAGGGCAGTGTTAAAGCTGGGCTCTAGAATATCGGTGACTTCTATGTCTAAGTGTAAATATGCAAATGTATGTACACATGTATTTATAACTTTAATTTTCCACATAACTATTAGGTTTTAAGAGTGGTAACTTGCAATTCTAGTGTGATGGCTTTGAAAATACCATAAATATCAAGTACCTTGTACTGAATGACAGACTATTACTGTGTTTGCCAGTTTTGAAGAGCTTTATTTATGTTCATGTCTTACAGATTTTTAAGTGCAGCAATTAATATTAGGAAACATTGCAGCCCTTACCCTGATTATATGTATACTTGTATTCATAAAAATGTTATTTGTACAAACATTGCACAGACTATTTTAATAACATAATTTGTTCTTTAAATTTACTGTGTTTTATTGAAATGTTCTTAAAGAGGATGAATATACCTGCTTTTGGATCACTTATTTAAACACTGTATGGATTGTCTTTTTTTTTTTCTTAATTTGAAGAGTGCATGCTGCTTTGATTCTACATTAGATCTGGTTCAAATAACTAAAATTTTAAGTTTTTGAGGATATACAATCTTAAGCATATTCTAAACACCTAGTTTTTATTCATTAGTTTGCTTTCACTTTGAATTTTAATATTTGGATGGTGTTCAATGCATTGCCTTAAAGGTGATGCCTGATTAATTTTTATACTCTTGAAATAACTACACTTTTATTTATAACTAAGTTTAGGTGGAGATGTTGAGAGCATTTTTGTGGGTTAAAAAAAAGTCAGCAAAATGAATTTTGAAGCATTCATTTGTGTATTTCCTTTGGGAAATCCCTTGTACCTAGCATTCATGATAGTTCCTCCTTAGAGGTTAACAAGAAAGATCTTTATCCTACTGCTTCAAATTCACTTACGAAACAGGTTTCAAATTCAGTTATCACACTACATTAAAGCTACGTTTTGCTTTTTGGATACTCAAATTTCCTCCATTTGCTTGAGTTCATATTATTTCTTTTTAAATTATGCTCTTATTTCTGAAGAAGAAATGGACAATGGCACTTAGAAAATGAGTAATCGTATTTAAACGTCAGTGATTATGTGTATGCTCAAATTAAGTGTTGCTTATCAGCTAGATCGTGAACTTGATGGGATCCTTTTCTAGGGTTCCTGTTAGTGTGTCTCTGTGACCTTGTTTCAGTGAAATGAAAAGCCTTCCTCATCCCACCTCCCTCTTTTTTATTCATCTTGGGAAAAACTAGTCTTTCAACAAGCTTCGTTGGTAAGTGGCTTCTCAGTTTGATTATGTGTTGTTGTTTTGTTGAAGTTCAGTTTTGTGTTGTCATTTTCCTGAAGAATAGTTGTTGAAGTGTGTGTGTATGTGTATGTCTGGGTAGCCACAAACCATGTTTGTATCTCTTTTCATTTTAGGGATTCTGTTTTTCTTCTTTGTAATGTAAAGAATTTCAGAGTTATTGAAATTTCTTACATGTGTTAGTTTAGATTCTTTATGTGCCTTTCATGAAAAATGTTTTCATTACTTTTATTGATGGGAGACCTGTAATGTCCGCATTGTGAAGCTGTGTACCTAAAATTTAACTAAAACCTGAATAAATTTGAATAATAAGAAATATGGTTTAAAAAGCCACCAAGAAGCACATATTGTTGACCATCATTGATGAATTCCTAAACTTTATTCTGTGTAATTGTGTTACTAATAAATCCTAATAAATTTAAATTTTTAAAATTTTACAAACTGTTGACTAAGCGCATTTTGCATTAGAATTAAGTATTCGTCTATGGTATCATCATTTCGTCTTTCTCTGTGTTTGTGGTTTGTTTGTTTTTGTTTTTGTTTTTTTTTTTTTTCAGCTTCATCTACTCCAGAAGCTTGAGTTTCCCCCCAAGTTTTATCATTAGGTGGATGCCCTGTTTGGAATTACCTGCTTCATATCCCCTTCTGAAAATTCATCATATGTTCCGACTCCTCATGCCCAAAACCAAATCCATCCTCATACCCCCAGAAGCCTGTTCTCGTCTCTGACTCTGCCCTTTTAGCTATTAAGGACCAACCATCCCCATTTGGTACTCAGTGGAGAATACTTCAGCCAGACGGAACCCTTCCTATTCCTCTTCTCTGTCTCTGTTGGTACTCAGGCTTTTCCCGTACCTCACATCTGTGTTTTGGTTTTGTTTCACCTTCCATTCTATCCCCACTACTACCTACTGAATTGGGGTCTTTGCTGAACTTCCATCTGAAATGCTTGAGTCATTGAATCCCCACCTCCCGATTCTCCTGCCTCTCATCTAGGTTGACTGTCTTAATATAGATCTGTGGTTGTGTTGCCTTCCTTTCTTTGACCTTCACTGAAGCTGTCAATACAATTAAATATAACTCAGCCTCCCTCCCATTCAAGGCTCTTTGTCACCTGAGCCCACTGCTCCTGCACTCCTTTCTGAATCTGCATACATATAGTCTGTTGTGTACGCAACTTGGCCTTTCCTTCAAGCATGAGCTACATACTACATGTAATATGCTTACAGTAGAGTCTGGAGCCAGGGAAATGGTCATTTATAGCTGATATTTTTATCTATTGTTGGTTTTATTGGTAATAACCTTTTAAAAAGAATTTTTGGAAGCAAAAATAAGAAATCTTCCATCCACTCTTCAGCTTTGCAGGAAATGAGCCAGGTCAAAGCCAGGAACCAGAAAGTAAATCCAGGTCTTTCATATGGGTGGCAAGGAACCAACTGCTGGAGCCATCACCACTTGCTTCCTCCTCAGATGCACATTAGCAGGAAACTGGAAATCAAAAGCAGAGCTGGGATTTGAACCAGGTACTCATATGGGATATAGGTATACAAAGCAGCATCTGGACCGTTGTGCCCAATGCCCACCTCTTTTAAAATATTTGATTGATTTGAAAGGCATGAAACAAACAAGGCAGACAGATCCGCCATCCAGTGGTTCACTTTCCAAATGCTGTATGCCCTCAGGTTGGCTAGACAAAGCTGGGATCTGGGAAGTCAGTCCAGATCCATGTGGGTCGCAGGGACCCAAGTACCCAAGTCAGTCCCCGCCGCCTCCCAGGATCTGCACTAGCAGGAGGCTGTACTAGAAAGCTGAGCTAGGACCAGAACCCAGGCTCTCTTGTATAAGATGCAGGTTTCTAAACTGGTAGCCTAACTGTTGTGCCAAGTGCCTGCTCTGTGGTATCTTTCTTAGATTCCACTGGTATCTGTTATTCAGCCTGCTCTTTTAGAGACTGCATGGTTCTGGCAGGGCTACCAGTCAAATCGCTCTATTTCTTGGCAGTTGGCTTAGGCCTGGTGAGACCTAGTTCACCATCATAGGGCAAATGACTGTAACGCAGCCAGTCCTCATCCCAGGTCCCATTCCTGAAGTTCTAGAACTCTTGTAGTTTCTGAAGTTCCCCTCCTTCATTTCGGTACTCTTTGGGAAAACTACTTTTATGCCTGAGTTAATTCAGTCATGTTTAGTCTCTTACTAAAACAATACTGACTAAAATGCCTGCATTCCTATTGAGTGCAGACCATTGCTGTGAGATGGAAAGTTTCAGAGGTTAGTTAACTTGAGCGAGGCCAGTCAAGGTTTCAAGCTAAGGACTTGTGACTCCATGTCTGTTGGACTTCTAAAAATGCTACCTTATGTCCACAAAAAAACATAAGTAGTCTTTCACCTGTGCTTCCTCCACCCTCTGAAGGAAGCATACTTTTTTTTTTAAATCTTAAAAAAAAAAAAAAAAGATGGTGCTGGCATTTGGGTGCAGTGGTTAAGTCTCTGCTTGGGAAGACTGATCTGCTGTTGAAGTGTCTGGTTCAAGTCTCTAATTCCAGCTTCCTACTCTTGAATACCCAGGGAGATAGCAAGTGATAGCTCAAGTATTTGCATTCCTGCCCCCTGTATGGGAGACCCAGATTGAACTCTGAGCTCTGACTTCAGGCTGGCCCAGCCCTGGCTGTTGTGGACATTTGATGAGTGAACCAGCAGGTGGAAAAATCTCTCTGTGTCTCTGTTTCTCTGTCTCTGCCTTTCAAGTAAGATGAACATAAATAGATGAAAACAATTTTCTAAATATATACTTATGTATCTAAAAGTTATTTGTGTTATCTTAATACCTATTAGATTTGAAGCATGAACAGTTGTGTGTATTTTTACATAATTTGTTGTCTGCAGATCCTCTCTGGGTGCACCATATAAGTGAATTTAGTTAATGTAATCAGTGTTACAGATGTTACATTGTCATTGCTTAGTGTGTTATTTTAGAAGTAGAAAGTGACTATGAAGATCCAAGACTGTTCCCCAATTTGGATTCAAATCCCATCTCTCTCTCTCTCTCTCTCTCTCTCTCTCTCAGATTTGTTTATTCGAAAGGCAGAATTAGAGAAAGAGGGAGAGATCTTCCATTCACGGTACACTCTCCAGATTCCCACAACAGCAAGGGCTGGGCTGGACCAGGCTGAAGACAGGAGCCCAGAACTCCATTCCCATCTCCCACGTGGGCAGCAGGGGCTCAGGCACTGCGGGCATGCTCTGCTACCTCCCAGGCACATTAGCAGGGAGGGAGCTGAATCAGAAGTGGAGCAACTGGGATTTTGAACCCAAGCTTGTAGGGGATGGCGGTGTTGCAGACAAGGCTTAATCTACTATGCTGCAATGCTGGCCTTTTTCGCTCTCATTCAATAGGTGACCTATGGCAAATTATTTAATCTTTTCTTCCTTGCTGTCATCTGGATAAATTAGTAATTAAATGACCAGATCATTAATCTGATTATTGTTGGCAGCATTAAGTAAATTGACAATGTACATTAAACACTTAGAAATGAGGGTGGTATGTTGTAAGCCTTCAATAAATTTTGCTGTTATTAACTCTAAAGAATGTTCTAGGATGCCTTTAAAATCACAATCAGCAATTAACAAATGTTTGTTGATACACTTTGTCTTTAGAGTTAAAACTTCTGAGTGTCTCATATTGATGTTAATACTGGATGATATGAATGAGAGAAAAAAAATGTACCTTTAATTAATTTCAGGACACTTCTCTATTTTAATAAAACCAAAAATGTGGGAGTTTTTTTTTTTTAAGTTAGTTTTGAAAGGGGGCCAGTGCTGTGATGTAGCTGGTAAAGCTACCGCCTCTGATACTGGCATCCCATATGGGTGCCAGTTCATGTCCTGGCTTCCCCACTTCTGACCCAGCTCACTACTAATGTGCCTGGGAAAGCAGCAGAGGATGGCCCAAGTGTTTGGGCCCCTGCATCCACGTGGGAGACCTGCATAAAGTTCCTGGCTCTTGGCTTTGACCTGGCCCAATGCTGGCCTTCTAGGGCGTAAACCAGTAGGTGGAAGATCTCTCTCTCTCTCTTTCTCTCTCCCTTCCCCTCTGCTATTCTTTCAAATAAGTAAATCTTTTTAAAATTTTTTTTAAAATGAAGTGAGTTTGGGAAATTTTCT